GTGTACAGGCGCCCAACGTTCCAAGATGAAGTGATTTTCGCATCGGACCGGTTCTGTTTTGTTTCCTGTTTACCAAGACCCAAGGATACAGGCACATATCAACCAACTTCATGAGGCAGCGGGATCTATTCCAAATATTACATTTGGTTCAGCTGGCAATCATCGAGGTGGCCCGCCTGGTCTCGGTTATCGCAACATGTGTGGTAAGGTCAAGGACGTGTTCCTGTCCCGACCACGGCAAGAGGACCGAACCCACCTGATCCACCTGATGACGATGATGACGACGACGACGATGAGGACGAATCGTATGAAGAAGATGACGAACGTTGTCGCAGCAGGAGATCACCACGGAGAAAAAGGTCGAGGGATCGTCAAGGTCACAACAATGATCGACCAGGGATCTCACGGAAGGAAGCTGAGAAAGCCAACGTACCTCCATGGCCGAAGATCACGAAGCTGGATAGCTGGAAGATGGCACTCACGATGAACGTCGCATCAGCCGATCCTGACACTGAAGCATGGATGTCGTGGTTATCGTGTGCTTTCGTGGTAAATCCTGACCTTGCTTATTGGCAGATTCGGGAGGCGAACGAGTTGCAATGATGGATATCAAACTGGCCCTGGCACTTCAGATGATGCTCAGAAGCGCGCCTGACGATGCGAAGGACGTGGTTCATGATGCACAATTGCACGCCGAACGACGACAAAGAGAAAACAGGTAGATCACGAGAAGAAGGGCAAAGGAAAAGGCAAAGGGAAAAGCATGAGTCCCGTTGCAAAGAAGGAGTGGCCATGTGTTTTCCATCATACGAAAGAAGGAGGATGTCTTAAAGGCAAAGAATGTCTATATTCCCACAATCCCAAGCACAAGCGCAAGCTGGACACAGAGAAAGGCCAGGGCAAAGGCGGCGGTAAAGCTGCAAGGACTCCTTCACCGAAGAGGGACGGGGTCTGCTATGCGTGGAGGGAAGGAAAATGCACAAAAGGGGATCAGCGCAAATACAAACAGCACCAAACGCCCAGGAACAGCCAAAGGCAAAAGCCAAGCCCAAAGCAGCAGCTCCAGCCGTTGTGCGGAAGGTTCACCTCGCAATGCCCGCAATCACCGTCAAGAGCGCCGCGACTTCGGAAGTCAAGAAGGAAGGACAACAAGAACGCTGAGAAAGTTAAAGCCGAATTCAAGACTGTGTATCACGATAGCGATGCAGAAGACGCCGCGAGCGAATCTTCTTGATGGTCAGGTGAGACTGAGATACCCGAGAAGCACGTGTGGTTTCAGGAGATACTTGACAACGACGTGAGCGAGGAGGTGGAATACCTTAAGAACGAGGACGAACAGTGGCGGATCAATTCGTGGTGGTACAAAGGAAGTCATGAGGACAAATCGCAAGCAACCACGAAACCGATCGACGCCAATCCGTTCAAGACGTATGATCATCGACGGCGCCTGGCGTATAGTCGCAAGAAAGCACTCATCAGAGCTGAGATTATGAGCAAGGCGGCTAACGATGTATATCGGACTCACAAGATGCCAATGAACAAGGAGCAAACCTTCACTTTCGAGTATGACAAGGAGAATGACGAGATTGCGGAAGGGGTCGTGCAATGGAAGAGGAAGCACGGACAACCTATCAGTCTATTCGCCCTGTCTGCGAACCAATGCAAGGGAGTAAAATGGCTGATGGACACAGGATGCGGTCATGACCTGATCGGCAGATCCAAGGCGACCTCCCTCGGTGTTGACATCGTTCAGGACAAGGACGAGATTGTCTTCCAAACGGCAAATGGTACTACGTCCACTTCGGATTCTATCACGGTCGACGGTGTATGAAGATGGGATTCTTTCCGCTGGATGTGTGGGCGCCTGAGAAGGAGATGGTTCATCACCTATTTGGTTGGAGACTGGAATGCAAGGAGCAATCGTCATCGGCCCGAGTCTGAAGACATCATCGAGCACTTGAAGATGCTCAAGGAGGTTATCGGAGCCGTCGAGATAGCGATGATGGAGAAGTAGCAGAAGCAGACGCAGAAACATGCGCTTGCTGGGGAGGAGGATGGTGTTGATGATGGAGAATACCTGAGCCCTATGAAGATTTCGGCCCGCCTGGCGGAGCGGGAGAGGCTTGAGGACGTGGGCCCGAGCGGGTGAGGACGAAGCTGAGCGTGAAGGTGATGACAGGTGTTGAAGTCGACATCTACGAAGGTGCATCCATCAAGAAGAGAATCGGTACACTGAAGGATGATGCCAATACCCTGACACATTTGTTGAGGCATAGGTATCGAAACCCGTTCTGCGAATCATGCGTAAAGGCGAAGATGAGGCACGTCAGATCCAATTCCGGTGCCTCTCAACGTGAAGTCAAGATGTTCGGCGACTTGATCAGTTGAAGCCGCAGGGGACGCCGAAAACAACGACAAGTACGTCATAGAGATATATATATATATATACCGGCATCATCATGGGCTATCCAATTGGACGTAGGAATACCGTCACGGTGATCAACAGCGTCAAACATTTTGCTGGTAGGCGGAAGATCAAACAGGTCTACTCGGACGACGCCCCGGAGTTCATCAACGCATGTTCTGAACTGAAGATACCTCATGGTTTATCGCTTCCGGGCAAGAGGCAGAACAATTCGCTTGCTGAACGTACGAACCAGTTCATCGTGGATCAAACCACTGCATGTCTTGTTCACGCTGGACTTCCAACGTGCTGCTGGATCTACGCAATCACTGCACTGTGTCACCTGATGAACGTAGAGGAAATCAATGGTTCGAGTGCATGGTTTCGATTGCATGGTGAACATTTCAAGGGTGAAAAGAGCCCATGTGGCGCATTGGTTGAATTCAGACCGAGCGATGCAAGAGGTGACAAGAGAGAGAAGTTTGAACCAAAGGGGGAAACCGGTATTTTCGCTGGCCATAACCTGAGTTCTGGTCTTCACTGGGCACGTCGAGCCTGGACTCTCACAAGCTTCGCCGGCGCTGACCTTTCTACAAGGAAGGCGAAAATTCCACCTCGACTACGCCAACCGCATCAGACCGAGAGGATCGTGCTCAAGTTACCAATATCGTTTCCCGTTCAGGAACAGAGAAATTAAACTCTTGAAGGAATTGAGGAGATTCGAGGGGAAGATGGCGGAGACATCCATCTGGACCAAACGATTGAGGATGAAGACCCCGATCCCACTCTATTGCAGGATATAGATCAGGGACAACTCGATGAGATCGAGGTGATCGCTGGGATCATGCATGATGAGAAAGGTGAGGACGCCGAGCCGGGAAGTCCGGAACACAAGAGCGCCGTTGATCATATAGCTGACCTACCCCTGTCTGCACAGGAAAGGCAAAAGATGGTATCATATACAGGAACGATCTTGGCAAGACGGTCAAGATTGATGTTCGTGGGAGACCCTATGGCAGGATTCACACCTGAAGAATGGGCAACTGCCCTTGTTTAAGGTCCCTCAAAACCTTTGAAGGATTGTTGTTGTGTGAGCAGCCGACAGATGCGTATGGATGCTTTGGCTCAAGACTAAGACCCAACAGAGTGCTGTAAAGAGACAAAAGGGCCGCGATCCGCTGTTGCAGGCAGTTGTGAGCACGGGATTCGAACCCCAGTTACCTTGTCTTTGACTTCGTGGTTGGATCGCCTCCTGGCGCGTGCCGTAACATAATGCTATGTAATGTGATCGAATGTAATGTTATTCTGGTATGTTATGTTATGTATGTATGTGTGATGTGCGTATGTATGTATGTATGTATGTATGTATGTGTATGGTGTGGTATGGTATGGTATAGTATGTAATTATGTAGGTCAGTATGCATGTTATGTGTGTAATGTAATGTGATGCAATGTATTGTAATGTAACGCAATGTAGTGTACTGTAATGCAACGTAGTGTAATTGTGTATATATGTATGTGTGTATTTTTGTATGTACGAATGTAATTTAATGTAAGGTAGTGTACTGCAATGCAATGTAAGGCATCGTACTGTTCTGTAATGGGGTGTAATGTAATGTATTGTAATGTGTGTGTGTGAGTGTATGTGTGTATGTGTGTATGTGTGTACATACGGAAACATTTGTGGTTGTTTGTCGGTCCGTCGGTCTATTTGTATGTAGGTAGGTAGGTGGGTATGTGTCACACACACACACGCATGCACACAGGCACATACCTACATACAGACACACACACACACGCATCATACACACACACATACGCACACGCACACACGTACACACATACAGACAGACACACAGAGACAGACGCACCTACACACACACGTACACGTCATACACAGACACAGAAACACACACACGCACACACACACACACACATACACACACACACACGTACACAAACATGTACACGTACACCTACACATTCACACGCACAGACATACACACATTCATTCACATATACAGGCATACACATACATACGTACGTACGTACATACAGACATACACACATACGTGCGTACGCACGTACATACAGACATGCATACAGACATACAGACATACGTACACACTAGCGAAGCTAGAGACGGCTAGCAACCCTCATTCCAGCAGCATGCCGGAACAAACAAGGTTCGGGCAAAGCAACAGTTGCAGATGCAGCAGTCTGGAAGCAACAAGATGACCATACATACAGACATACGTACACAGTAGCGAAGCCAGACAGTCAGCTACCAACCCCCATTCCGGCAACATGCCCGAACAAACGAGGTTCGGGCAAAGCAGCAGTTGCGCGGCTTACGCAGATGCAGCAGTCTGGAAGCAACAAGATGACATGTTGAGGACGCTAGACGATTGGTTGGCGTTGATCAATGGTTCTTTGGCGTGACGTCGCTGATTTGCCAGCATGTGTCCTGTATTCCCGGGCCGTATCGGGTCAGACATTGTGCAAACCAGTTTCGCATGGCAAGGTATGGCCTCATTCAAGGTGGGATCCAAGTCGGGCCCAACACAGCATGCAACAGCAAACTTCTGAGTTAAACGAGCTGGCCACAACGCCTGAGCGCTTCACAAACAAGTTTTCCGCGGATCAAAAAAGCGGCCCAAATCCAATGCTGCAGCGGAGGCGGCTTTTGTGCCGCATTGTTGCTGTGGAGTGTCGTGCCGGGCTGCTCCTTCAGGCGCCGGTAAAAGTGGAGGTTGAAGTGAGCAATGTTAAAGAGTCCAGGTGCGGCATTGCATTCTCAACACGTCATGAGATGTGGAAACCAAAAATGTGTCAGGCGTCTCCAATTGGAGCCCCAACTTAGAGAATGAGGTTCCTGACAGACCAGAACTCACCAGGCGCCCTTGTTTGGTTGTGGCAACAAGCGCATGGCAACTCGGCTCTAGGATTCTGAGTTCTTCGCGCACGGGAAGAATGCATTGGCATCGGAACCAGTTTGTGTTGATCTCAGTTTCTCTCAATATCGTCAGACTTTGCTCTCCTCTCTCTTTGATCCACCTTCTGTCGTCGATGTCCCTGCCAGATTTTCATAGGAGCAGCGCCGAGGTGCCGTTGCCCTGCAGACCACCGCAAGGGCCTTGCAAAGCGCTGGGGAGGGCGCTGGGAATGGCGAGTGAGCGAGTGAGCGAGTGAGCAAGTGAGCGAGGGAGCGAGGGAGCGAGGGAGCGAGGGAGTGAGGGACTGAGGGAGCGAGTGAGAGAGGGAGCGAGGGGGAGCGAGGGAGCGAGTGAGCAAGTGCGGGAGGGAGCAAGTGAGGAGGAAGCGAGTGAGGAAGGGAGCGAGTGAGGAGGGAGCGAGTGAGAAGGGAGCGAGTGAGGGAGGCAGCGAGTGAGGGAGGGAGCGAGTGAGGAGGGAGCGAGGGAGCGAGGGAGCGAGTGAGCGAGGGAGCGAGGGAGCGAGTGAGCAAGTGAGGGAGGGAGCAAGTGAGGAGGGAGCGAGTCAGGAAGGGAGCGAGTGAGGGAGGGAGCGAGTGACGGAGGGAGCGAGGGAGGGAGGGAGCGAGTGAGGAGGGAGCGAGTGAGAAGGGAGCGAGCGAGTGAGGGAGGGAGCGAGTGAGGGAGGGAGCGAGTGAGGAGGGAGCGAGTGAGGAGGTGGAGCGAGCGAGCGAGTGAGGCAGTGAGTGAGTGAGTGAGTGAGTGAGTGAGTGAGTGAGTGAGTGAGTGAGTGAGTGAGTGAGTGAGTGAGTGAGTGAGTGAGTGAGTGAGTGAGTGAGTGAGTGAGTGAGTGAGTGAGTGAGTGAGTGAGTGAGTGAGTGAGTGAGTGAGTGAGTGAGTGAGTGAGTGAGTGAGTGAGTGAGTGAGTGAGTGAGTGAGTGAGTGAGTGAGTGAGTGAGTGAGTGAGTGAGTGAGTGAGTGAGTGAGTGAGTGAGTGAGTGAGTGAGTGAGTGAGTGAGTGAGTGAGTGAGTGAGTGAGTGAGTGAGTGAGTGAGTGAGTGAGTGAGTGAGTGAGTGAGTGAGTGAGTGAGTGAGTGAGTGAGTGAGTGAGTGAGTGAGTGAGTGAGTGAGTGAGTGAGTGAGTGAGTGAGTGAGTGAGTGAGTGAGTGAGTGAGTGAGTGAGTGAGTGAGTGAGTGAGTGAGTGAGTGAGTGAGTGAGTGAGTGAGTGAGTGAGTGAGTGAGTGAGTGAGTGAGCGGGTGAGCCAGCGGGTGAGCCAGCGGGTGAGCGAGCGAGTGAGCGAGTGAGCGAGTGAGCGAGGGAGCGAGTGAGCGAGGGAGCGAGGGAGAGAGTGAGGGAGGGAGCGAGTGAGGAGGGAGCGAGTGAGGGAGACAGCAAGTCAAGAAGGGAGCAAGTGAGGAGGGAGCGAGTGAGGCAGGGAGCGCGTGAGGGAGGGAGCGAGTGAGAGAGGGAGGGAGTGAGAGAGTGAGTGAGTGTGAGAGTGAGTGTGGGAGTGAGTGTGGGAGTGAGTGCGAGAGTGAGTGTGAGAGTGAGAGGTGAGAGGGTGAGAGTGGGAGAGTGAGAGTGAGAGAGTGAGAGTGAGAGACTGAGAGTGAGAGACTGAGTGAGAGTGAGAGAGTGAGAGTGGGAGAGTGAGAGTGAGAGAGTGAGAGTGAGAGACTGAGAGTGAGAGACTGAGAGTGAGAGTGTGACGAGAGTGATTTTGGGAGTGAGAGTGATTGGGAGTGAGAGTGATTGGGAGTGAGAGTGATTGGGAGTGAGCGTGATTGGGAGTGAGAGTGATTGGGAGTGAGAGTGATTGGGAGTGAGAGTGATCGGGAGTGAGAGTGATTGGGAGTGAGAGTGGTTGGGAGCGAGAGTGATTGGGAGTGTGA